CATGCCGTCGCCACTAGCAGCGCCGCCGGGCCCTCTCCTACCACCTTCGATGCCCATGCCGATACCTGTTTCTCACCAGCACGGCTTCACGGCTTCCAACATCGCATTCTCTCAGTACACGGCTTCGCTGCATCAGCAGCAGCAACAGCAGGCCCAGCTGCAGCAGGGGTCACCACAGGCACTGCACCAGGACGAGCAGGGTAGCAACCACCACAACCGCATTGTGGAGCAGCGCATCAAGCAGATGCTCCACATCGATGGTGGCCCTGCCCCTCCTGCTGCTCCTGCCGTCCCGGCTGCAGCTGCCGCCCCCAGCCCCTCATCCCACGAGGCAATGAGTGCTATCCCCTCGCCACGCTCGCCACGCTCATCGGATGTGCACCCTTACCCACCAGCACCAGTGCCCTTGCCGATGCCCATTGCGATGCCGCTGCCGCTGCCAGCACCGTCGTCATACCAGCAGCACCCGCTGCTGCACCATGTGGACGATGTGAGCGTCAGCATGTCGGGACCGATCGGCTCGCATCACTCAGGTGTGGGGTTGAGCTCGAGCCCCTCACTCGACAGCAGGGGGGAGGGCGACAGCACACACCTGGGTGGAGGAGCTAGTGGCGAGCCAATGCCCTGGGCGAGCCCAGCAGGTGAGAATGAATAATGTATTTTGATCCACATGAGCTCAGCTGCAGTATCTGCCATGAGCACCCGCCGTCTGTGTGTGTGTTGGTGTCTTTTCATCAGGTGTCCCCCTTCCGTCAGCCCTTCACTTCGGCGGCTCTCCCCACCCGATGCTCGTCGGGCGACCCAATGGCGTCGTCCCTCCCCCGCCCCCTGCTCACATGCAGCCCCGGCCCCGACCAACACCCCTCCCCATCCGCCCTCTGCAAAGCTACGCCGGCTCCTCTCTCCACCACCACCACCACCAGGACACAAGAGTGCCCATCCACCAGACCAGGATAGCAGCTCCGGCCAGCAGCGCCAATCTGGTGTCGTCTGATGGAGGCGTGGGCCAGCAGATGTCACCGACTTCAGAGTCGAGTGGCCCTCCATCGTCTGTGGTGGACAACCAGCCGGGCGGGGCGCCGCCGCCCAACGGTGTGTGGCAGCAGGTGCCCAGTGGCCCCACGAGCGACTTCGAGAACCTGCCAAAGGCCATTAGGAGCCACGAGCTGCCCGTCACTAACCAATACCAAGCGGTGAGTGAGTCAGGGAGGTAGCGGGATGGACTGAACGCATTCGCGAATGTGTGTGTGGTCCTTCCTAATTTGTATGCGAAGGCTGGTGAGGCCTCGCCGGGTCTATCTGAGTGGGACACGTGTGTGGAGGTGCGGTGTGTGGCGGCGTCGGTGGATGTCCAGACCATCCGGGACATCGCGAGAGAGTCGGGCGCCGCCCAGTGGTACGCCGACGTCGATGCGGCCCGCAGTTGGGACCGCCGCTGCCACGTCATGACACTCTACTTCCTCTTCAGCACGGTACAACCACCCAAAGACACCCACACACCCACACACACGGATGTTTTCTTGTCTATGTGCAGGCTGAGGATGCGTCGGTGGCCGCGAATCGTTTCCCGCGCGACGCCCGCCTCCACATGCCGCACCCACCACCGCCGCCACTCAAGCACTGGACAATCAAGGTACGCTCTCGCAATCGCGCACAGCCTAACGACGGCAGGGGAAGTGTGTGTGGTGTTGACGGATGCACAGGTGAGCCAAGGCAGGTTGACCAACATCCAGGGACCGCCGCTGCCGTCAGGGCTGTTCAACTAGCCAGACAGACAGACAGACATCCATCGTGGGTTTGCAAAGGAATGCAGCGGTGGTTGGTGTCCACATCTGCATGAGATGAGCTGAGCTGAGATGGAAGCGAAGCAAGGAAGAGTGAGTGCATTGATTCATTCCTTCGTTGATGGTGACACACACGCGATGGGTAGGTAGAACGGGGGGATGCATGCATGGATGGAGACGTATACACACATACCTATGCAGACAAGGATTGCGTAGCGACGGACTCTCACTCCCGGGCGGCGGCTGTTTTTGCGTGTGTGGACGACAGACAGGGGAAAGACCACAGGGTGTCGGTGTCGTGTTCAATGCACGGTCATGTCGCAGCATTTCTGGCTAGATCGGCCGTTGCGATCGGCCGTTGTCGGCCGTTTCGAGCGTACGTGTAGAAAAACGTTGCAGAAGTTCCGTCCAGCTGCAGGCTTGTCCAACTGCCCCCTTTGACGCTTGGATCATGGCCCGACTTGCCCTTTACCTGGTCTGTGTTTGCTGTGTGTGTCTTGTTGCGGCATCCGTCGACCCCGATGTCACGGAGAAGCTTGAGGGGCTGCTGGAGTTCGTCCTGAACGTACTCGCACGGACCAAAGGTGATGGCGCGGACGAGGCCAACGCAGCTGACGCAGATGAAACGGGTGGGCCTGGATGAGGTCAAACACACTGTATGTATCTATGTTTTTCCCGCCTACCATAGCTGTTGCGCATGCTCCCAAGGCCAACAAGGGCGAGGTGTGCCCCGTCCTGAGCATGGAGGCCATGGCCGAGGAGGACGGCAACGGGCTCTCGTTGCCGAGCGCGATCGTGTCCGCACGCAGCGAGCACTACATCGACCTCCCATTGGTAAGGCTAGGACCACTCTCGAGGTGGCGGACAAACGGCCGGACTGGAGTGCGTGCAGGGCATGGCGAGAAGGCTGGGATACACTGAGATCGTCATGGCCGTCCATTCGCACGAGGGAGATGCCAACATCATAGTGCAGTCGCAGCAAGGGTGAGTGTGCGTGTACCACATCTTCAACTGACAAGCACGTATCCTGATGTCACCTGGGCCAGGCACGTGTATGGCAGCTCGACGGCGCCTTCGACAAAAAAAGCCAGCCTTTTCGAAGACACCATCATCGTGCCCACCGCAGCCAATGTGACTGCACATGCTTTCGTGGTGCCCGCTGGCGGCGAAGATGCCAATGTGGTGAGACAGAAAGGCCGCCTCAGAGACCATTCCGACGTCCATACGTATTGCCGTGTACCTGCTCTGTGTGGGTGTGTCACATGTGTCAAACAGACGGTGTTGCTGTCGTTGCGGAATGAGGGCTGCAAGGTGCCCTTCGCAATCCCCGGCATACACAACAAGACAATCGTCGACCTCTCTGCGGACCTGCGTGACGTCATGCTGCCTCCTCCGCGCGACGACATGAGCCAGACTTTCGCCTACTACAGAAAGCTGTCGAGCGTGTCCGAGAAAGACGTGGCCATAGCAGAGAAGCTTATTGAGGAGCTACGCAAGGGCCACGATTCTGAGAAGCTGCTGGCGAGCAGCGGACTGGAGCCCTTTGAGTACCGACTGGACGCTAAGGACACTCAGAAGCTCTGGAAAGACAAGGTGAGGGACACAGCAGGACAGAAATACATCGGAAAGATCAGATGTGTGGCTGACTCGATGCGTTTCTGTGGTGTATTTGTGGTCCGTGTTGCACTTTCGCTCCCCCAGGAGACGCCGGTGCCCAGGAGCCGATTGACAACCAGAGAGCAGGGTAGATTGACGAACTGCGAAAGAGTGGCGATGCCCGCATGTGTGTGTGTGTGTGTGTGTGTGTGGTTTTTGGCTGCAGCTGAAGTCGTTACATCCGAAGTAAACTGTCCCACATCTTGTTGCTGCTACTGCTATTATCAGAATTGTCCGGACGGCCGCGGGCTGACACGGCCATCATGCGAAGAGGGTGCGGATCGCAGCCCGTGCACATTGTTTTCCGTCTCCAGCCCGTGTTTGAATGCCCCTGCCTCGTGCATCTGTCCCTGCACCAACACAGAATATCAGATCTCGTGTGAGTTCGGCCCACTCGCCGATGGAATGTGCTAGTCAGTCTATCTGATCGGTCAGGCACCTTCACCTTCACCTGCACAAAATTTTCCCCTTTCTGAATGCTCGGGGCTAGGTGTTGCTCATGTGTGTCTTGTTGAGAGCCCCTGCTTTTGTTTTTGCTGTTTTTCTGCGCGAATGCACGGCGTGGGGGCGGGAAGGAGGAGTATTCTATGTATGTGTTGTCTCTTTGAAGAATTTTCTGACTGATGGATGCACGTGTTTTTGAAAACCTGCAGCCTTTGCGCCATCAGTGCTAAAGTTTGCCTGTCTCTGTCTGTCTATCTGTCTGTTTGCCTTTGTTGCCTAACTGTCTGGCTTCCCCTTCGCTAATGGTTGGCATCGAGCCGGCAGGGCCGAAATGAAACGCCAAAAGGATGATGACTGAATGGCGAGAAGAAACGTCTCCTTGCCTTGTATGCTTGCTTGTAGGCATGCTGTCTGTATGGCTGATTTGTCTGTCCCGGCTGGCTGTGTTTCCGTCTCTGTGTGTCCGTCTCTGTGTGTCCATGTCTGTGTGTGTCCGTGTCTGTGTGTGTCCGTGTCTCTGCGGCCGTGTGTGTCTGTCTCTGTCTGTCTGTCTGTCTCTCTTCTTCGTGTACACACACGAGTGCATGTACTGCGCTCTCTGCCTGCGAGCCGCAATTGGCTCAGGGACAGACCCACAATTGAGGGAGTGCGCTATGGCGTGGCAGGCCAAACGAAGGGGTGCAAACATGGGGTATGTAAGACTCGAAGCAATGAGGTATCTGTGAGAGGCCGTGTTTGAAGCAATGAGGCTGTGACTGAAGGAATGAGAGATGTGGTGTGTGAGTATTGACCGATTATCAGCGACATGTCTTGTCTGTTGTGCGGACGTCGCCGCCAATCGTGGAGGGGCGACCACACAATGACTGGGTTCGGGGCACGTGTGTGTGGCTTGCCTTCATCGGTGCGTTTGGTGCATGAGCATGAGTCCGAGCCTTCTGGAGCGATTGGTTGGCAATTCTGAGTGACATATAGCCCAAGGCATTGGTTGGATGAGTGAGTATGTGTGTGGACTAGGGGGGGGTGGGTGAGTGGTCGGAGTGCTCGGTTGAAGCCATTCAGATCGTCGTCACGCAATCGCATACACACATGCATTCTTCACTCATGCATCGGGGAGGTCTCCCATCTAGATTGAACGCAGGTATGCGCGGCCTTCACCACCACTCAAATTAATGCATACGAAACTTTGATTAGGGCTTAGCGAGTGATAGGTCGGTCGGTCTGAGACACACACACAGACCGACCGACCGATACACAGACCGACACAGACAAGACAGACAGACAGACACACACACAGACACAGACACACGCACCACGCATATTCGTCATGCTGGCACTCCTCGAGGGGATGTGTCTGTGTGTTTGACAGCCAATAAGACCCACACATTCACACGCCGCTAGTGATGGAAACTAGACTGGCTGTCAACTGACTGTGCAAGACACGTGAATGCAAAGCACTCGGACGTCAACACCATGCCATGCCCTGCGGCAATAACACGATGTACAGGCAAGCCTCTTCCCTAAACAGGCACACATTCCACAGGCACACATTCATAAAACGCATGACTCCGCATGTAGCCAGTTGATGCTTAGAGACACCTTTTTGCCCAGCCCATCATCCAGAAAAGAAAAAGAAGGGGAAAAACTTGATCAGAGATACATGCATGCCACTGAGACACACCCAAACAGACGAGACAAGCTCGCCATCACAGTGCACCAGCCGGAAAGTACATCGACAGACCCTGAGCCCGCAGCCACTTCGGCAATTTAGGCATCCCTCGGTCGCCGGGCACCTTCTTGGGTACTTTCTGCCCCGCCTCCCACGGTATGGGTGTGACGGAATGCCCGGGAGCGTAGGTGCCGTCAGGGAAGAGCGTGCCGCTGTGGATCATGTTGTCCCTCCATTCACCGTCGAACCACAACACAGCACTCAAGGTCGTACCCCCAAGGATATAGTACGCCTTGCCGTGGCCGTGCCGCTTGCCCGCCTGCCATCCACCTCTGAAGAGGATGAATCTGCCACAGGCGTCTCGCATTTCCCCCTCACCGTGTGCCTTTCCGTCGAGTGTGGCACCATGATAGAAGCCCAGCCACTTCCCGTCGTTATCGAAGAGGTTGAGGTTGGTGATGAGGCCCGGTCCTCTCAGCTCGCCATCACCCCACTGACCCTCATAGGTCGCAAGGCCGCCATCACCCCACTGACCCTCATTGGTCACACGGCCGCTTGTCGACTTGCCGCGGCCGTGCCGCTTGCCCTCTCTCAACTCGCCCTCGTAGATCTTCCTCTTGCCGTCCGATGCATACTCAATGCCCGTTCCGTGATATTTGCCGGCCTCCCATTCTCCCTCGTAGATCTTCCTCTCGCCGTCCAATGAGCGCAGCACCCCCGTGCCCTCAGGCACTCCGTTGGCCACCGTGCCGTCGTACAGACCCCCATCGTACACGATCTTGCGCTGAATGATGTGAGCAATCTGTCGTAGCTCGGCCTGCGCTTGATCCCGCTGGGCTGTCAGCTCCTCAACGCGCTTGTCATACTGCTCCCGTACAAGCTCTGTCAAGTGACGGTTGTCTGCATCACGAGAACGCACCCATACACACGAACAAACGGCAAATCATCGCGTACCGTCGACGATGGTCTGCAGCACTTCGGCCGGGATGGCGGCGCTTGAAGCGGCATGAGAAGAAGTACTAGAAGAGGCATGCGACTCGCTGTCTTCAGGCTCAGGTAGATCAGGCAAGTTTGGGAATTCCCCATGGAAACCAGCGGGAGGGGATGAGATTGCCCATGAGGGGAGATGAGAGTGGGTGTAGAGGATCGCTGTCGTTGCCCGTGAAGGCAACAGATGAGCCAGAGGGACGAGTTCGAGAGTCTCGAGTTCAGAGGGCCATTACACGGAGGGATCCACCCCAACTCAAACGCAGGTTCAACAGCGCTGTGTCCTTCATCGCATTGCAGCGTGTTGCGCGACAGGAGGGGGGCTCCTGGGAGTTGCCAGATATCGTGATGCGCTACGGCGCCAAGGGGGAGTCTATCAAGCCGCTCGACCCTGAACGAAAGGTGTCTACTGGTTGTGTGCATACTGCTCAGTTGTTGCCAGTGCTAGTGTTGAGCGACTCGTCTGCACAGGTGCAGGGCACCGGTGTGTGCATGACATGGGGAGGAGCGGCAGGAAACAACGGAGGGAAGAAGCGGCCAAAGCGGCCAGGAAACTGCGAATGTAGCCACCAACGCATCCGAGCGTCAACATACCAAATGCCGTTCACGTAGCCAGCGAATTAGTCGTGCAGGGTAGCATCCACTGGTTGTCCGCCCGCACACAGACAAGACGAGACGCAACAAGGCATGCAGCAATCCACACGCAAGACGAATCATCCCTAGCCCCTACAGTACAGGGCCCATACTCCACATACTAACCCTCACAAACCTGACAGGGAGGTGTTCACCTCAGCACCGCACCCACCCTCCCAATGCAGCTGCTCATGCAGCTGCCGCAATCTCATGAGCTTCATTGGGCCCATCACTCGACCCGCCGCACTGACATGGGCACACGTAGCGCCACTCGGCCCGACGTGACGGCAGAGCCCCCATGTTTGTCTCTGTCGCACCAGCAGCAAGCTGACGTAGATGGGGACGGTCGTGGTGGTTGCGGGCTGGTGGGAGGCTCTGTGGGGATGAGCCGGATGAAGAAGGCGCCGTGAGGTGGGATTCCGGGAATGCTGTCAGATGGGATGGTCTCGTTGAAGTGGCCTGAGGCAACCAACCCAAGCCACACACAGCACAGACAGGCATAGCCCTGTGCACTGCAAGAGACTGGAGTGATGGTAGCGCACATACCGATGTCAATTCGCCTCCAGAGGTCACGGGCCCTGTATGAGTCTCCGGGCGTAAGGCCTATCTCGGACCACCTGAGCTGCGACACGGCGAGGGTCTCGCTGCCGACATTGACCAAGGCGACCGCCACATCACCGCCGGCCAGCCGCCGCACCCAGACGTCGTACGTTCGTGTGCCGTTGTGCGAGTATGACTGCACCCGCCGCCCCTGGTCTACAGCCGGGTCCTGGTCTACAGCCACCACCTCGGGATTTGACACCACCTCTGCACACAGGCATGTCCACCCATATATATCCACCGACACAATTGGGAAGGACACAAGTGTTCATCCTGCCTACCAGTGCCTACCGAGGGTGTCACTTGTCATAGTGAGGGGGTCGTGGCCGAGAATAAGAGGGGCAGCCAGGATCGACTGACATTGGATTGGCACACACGCAGACACACAGAAAAGGCAAGGCAGGCCCACAGACACACAGACAGACACAGGATAGCGTACGTGGTATATATTTCATGTCGGTCCTTGTGTGTCGAGTGTCGCGGTACCGTACCCAGATGGCCATTTGTGTCTGTCCCTCTTCCTTGGTCAGCCCATTGCCGACCTCGAGCATGTCGGGATCGTTGAAGCTGCACATATGATACGTACGATCACATATATAAAGGACCGAAAGGACCATGAATGACATGCACGGTTGCATGTCTACCTGTCGGGCCCAGCAATGGGGACAAGCACGTCCTGGTGCTCGGCCCTGCACTCGCAACAGAAATAGCCACGCAGCAGCGAGAAATGGTCGAGCGGTTAGTTGGTTGGTCGCCTACAGGCTGCATACCACCAGTCAGCAATGGCCATCACGCTGCTCCAATGACCAGAGATGTCACCATAAATGCGCCATAGATCACTGACCAACACACAACACACGGCACACACATTTCCTGCGCATGTATCCTTGTGTCCGGCTCCCTTCCTCCCTCCCACTCTTACCTACCAAATCTGTGATACGTATGTGAAGTTGAAGTGCTCGGGCTTTTGGGGATCGATGGCGTATGCTGGCCAACTGCAGCTGAAGACGATCCCCCTGCCGCCCCTCTCCTCACGCACGCCCCTCAGCAGCTCAGACCAGTGCGTGTAGAGAGCCTTCATGTCCTTGGTGCTCGCCCAACAGCCGTCAAGCTTCAGATAATCGACTATATAACCGAAAAGAAATGACGCGTAGACCCCTGTGTGTATGTGGGATCGTTCGTCACTGACTCACCCCCCCAGTCGGCGAACGTCTTGACATCGAGCGCCTCACTGCCCATGGAGCCGGCATAGCCCTGACAGGTCCTTGTGCCGCAGTCGGAGTAGATGCCGTAGAGCATCCCCCTCTCATGCAAGTAGTCGCCCAGCGCCTTCATGCCGCTGGGGAAGCGGACAGGGTCGCCCTGCAGCGGGGCGCTCTTGTTGCGGGCGCCATGAACGGCCCCCCAGCAGTCGTCGAGGTTGACATATCTGTAGCCGATATCCCTTAGGCCGGTGCTGACGAGCACCTCGGCCACCTGGTGGATGGTCGTCTCGGTCAGCTTCGATGTGTGGCAGCCGTATGAGTTCCAGCTGTTCCATCCCTGCAGGCACAGCACAAATGAATGAATGCATCACACACACACACACACACGACTCATGAATGTCGGTTTAGGCAGGACTCATGCTTGTTTCGTGATCTGTGCAGTCATGCATGTGTTCACTCACGCACCATGGGCGGCTTGGACAGCATGCTGGCATCCTTCGCAGCCTCTCCCAGTGCTGCCACAAAGGCAAAGAACAGCGAGCACAGCCAGAAAGCGCCTCGGGAGCGTTCGATATCAAATCTCCGTCTGCCTTCCCTCTCCTTTGGCTTCATTTCACAGCTCATTTGCCCTCGGCCCATTGCGGAGAGATCTTCATTTCTAAGCTCGCAGATCCCAGTGCCGGACTGAAACCGCTGCTCTCTCCTCTTCTCTTTGTAGAATCGCCGCAGTGACGTGCTGAAACACGAGATATAGAAATAATCAAGTTTTCCACACGCATCTCTTCCTTGTTGCCTCTCTTATCTGGATCTGTGAAATGCGGTGCCTCCCACTTGTGTCTTTGGCGTCGTTCGTCTCCTTCCTCAGCACAGCGGTGGGACTGAGCGACATGGGAGCCTTCGTGCCTTCACTGGGGATGGAGGAGGGTGCACCAAGACGGCGGCTGTCGCTGGCGAGACGGACGCACAGAACTGCTCTCACAATGGCAGAGGAGGGTGAGGAGATCACACCAACCTGCCAAATGAGGCATGGCGCACTGGCACACGACAGCTCGTTGGGTGCTGGCATGTCTATTGATTCTCCCAGGTCGCTCGTCGACGCGCCCGAAGTCGGATGAAGAGGACCTCTTCCCCGAGGCGCCGCCCTCATCCCCACAGCAGAAGGACTCGCCGGCCACGCCCACGCCATCGTCGTCTTCCTTCACCCCCTACCCCTCCCCGCCCCCACTAGACGACGACAAGAAAAGCGACGACCGAGCCGACCCCCTCCGCACCATCTTCTACGTCATCATACCGCTCATCGGGCTCAGCGCACAGCTGTACTTCGCGCTCAGCCGCGACAGTCTGCCGCAGGAATACCTCGGGCCGGCCGTTATGGATTTGCTCATGTAGAGAGAGACAGGGCGGGAGGGAGGGCGGGCGGGAGGGGGTATTGCTGTGTGCATGTGTGAGAGTGGGTCAAGAGAGAGTGTCCCAAAGGGACGACTTTTCGACGTGGCTTGACGTTCTCGTTGCCTGTGTGGTCCTGTCTCACTGATGGTCTCCCAACGCATCATGTGATTGGTGACACCACCGAATCGCCTGAAGCGTGGGGAGCGTTCTGGTGGGCGAGGCAGTGCCACACGGCAACTAGAGCTCGGCAAGCGTCGATCAGTGAGGAATCGACACACAACACACACACAGTCATTGAGTTTTGATGCTGCTGGGTCGGGGATGGTGGGGTAGATAGAGTGGGTTAGTTAGGACCACTGGCTGCGGTGCATTGGGTGTTTTGATGAGCATCTTTGCCGGACTCTCTCCCTTCATGGCTTCCTGTGTCCCCCGTCACTGAGTTCGTGAACCTTGCGGTGATCCTTACCTTTCGCTCCTTTGCAGCGAGCGACAGGCAGGGATGCGCCGTGGGGTGGCCGTACTGGAGCGGGGGAAGATGAGCTTTGGTGGGAGGAGAGACCAGCGGGACTTACGTCCAATTGCTTATGTCATGGGTGAGCTTCTCGAATGACCACACCAAGTGAGACATACATGCCGGTGTGAGGTTGGGCGACGTTTTTGCGTGTCAGTCATGTCCATGGCTCATACACAAAGGACGCCTTCTTCATGAAACGATCGCGTTATTTCGGCTCGCAGTCGAGACGTTGCGGATCTCTTGACTTTCCCTTCCTGCGTCAAACGCTCTCAGGAAGGCGCTCCGCGCCTCGTGGCCGTATGATGGCTGCTCTATATTGTCTACTTTCGTTCGGGCTGCTGTCATCACTCCCCTTGGCTGCGATGGCGCAGCGGCCACACGCGTGCGCAGGCGATACGAGCGAGGAGGAGTCGGTGACGTCCCAGCTGGCGGCGGCCATCCACACACTCGCCAAGAACGGCAGCATCCCCGGGCCCTTCATGTGGGGCACTGCCACGGCCGCCTATCAGGTCCGCTACACAGATCACTGTAACACGCGGAGAGAGATCTCTCTCCCTGTGTGTGTGTGTGTGTGTGTGTTGGTTGTGCAGATCGAGGGAGCGTGGAACACGTCCGGGAAAGTGCCGAGCATATGGGACGTCTTTACACAGACGAGCCGGGACAGGGGACTCAACAAAATCAAAAACGACGACACGGTAAGCCAAGGCGGCCAGAGAGAGGCCAAGAGGGCACAAGCAAGAGCAACCAATGTGATGCTGCCGCCTTGTGGTTGCTCTGCTCTGCCTGTGTGCAGGGTGACATTGCTGATGATTTCTACAACAAAGTGAGTGCACTGAAGGTGGTGTGGGCAAACCGGAAGGTGGCTCCTGTCTGTGTGTCTGTGCCTGTGTGTGGTTCGTTCAGTACCCTGAGGACATCCAGATGATGAGGGGACTCAACATGACCCACTTCAGGTAGGTGGTGAAGATGAGATACTGACACACAGATGGGGCCGGCTAGTTCGTTCCTTCGGCCATTCTCCTCTCTGTGTCTGTCTGTCTGTCTTTCTTCTATCTGTCTGTCTGTGTGTCTGTCTGTCTGTAGGTTTTCCATCAGCTGGACCCGTGTGATGAACGGCACGACGAGGAACGAGCCAGGTCACACACACACACACACACACGGTCGCTGGATCCAGTGTTGCTCCTCCCATGGTTGGCTGTGCTGTGTGTGTTGCAGGGATCAAGTTCTATCGCCAGCTGACAAACTCTCTGGTTCTGGCAGGGATCAAGCCAGTCGTCACCCTCTACCACTGGGACCTCCCCGCGTTAGCAAGACCACACACATGCCTTCACAAACACACGCGCACACGTGTGTGTGTGTGTGTGTCAGTACTCTTGATTGGCGTGAGGAGGAAGTGGTGGATGCCTTTGTGGCTTTCGCCGACGTCATGTTTGCCGAGCTGCCCATGGTCAAACACTGGATCACGGTAACTAACAGTTGCCACAAATGCAATGCCCTCACGGCATCAGTCGAGACAGCTGCAGAGGCGTGTTCTGGTGTGGTGTGGTGTGGTGTGGTGTGCAGTTCAACGAGCCCTGGGTGTTCTGCAAGCACGGCTACCAGGCGGGAGCCCGTAAGCAGACAGACACCACGCTGTGCCGACTGGCTGGCTGACCATGTCGCTGTGTCTGTGTCTGTGTCTGTGTCTGTGTGTGTTAGATGCCCCCGGTGTCCGGTCCAGATATGGCCATCTGCAGTGCGGCCACAACGTGCTGCTGGCCCACGCCAAGACGTATGCTCTCTGGCAGGACAAATACGCCACCAAGCGGCCACAGGCAAAGGTCGGCATCACCCTCAATGCTGGTACGTCATAAACACACCACACCGCCCATCGGACCCACTCCACACACGTGTGTGTGTGTGTGTGTGTGTCATTGATCAGTGTGGCGTCTGCCGCTGGACGCCAAGAACCCCGAGGATGTGGCCATGGTCGGCAGGGAGATCAACTCGCAGATAGGATGGTTCGCCGACCCGGTGAGTGAGCATTGCAACACCTGCAGCCAACCGTGTGTGTGTACCACACACGTCACATAGTGCGCTCGCTGTGCGTTCGTTGGTCCGTTGGTGTCAGCTTTTCGACACCGGCGACTACCCAGAGTCACTCAAGGAGCAATACGGCAGCAACATGCCGGTCGGTGTGGAGGGAGGGATGGTGTTGAGTTGACATGGCTGCGCCGTACCCACGGTGGCAATGGTGTGTGTGGTGTGCAGGTGTTAAGTGCTGAGGACCAGGCGGCCTTGAAAGGCTCGGCAGACTTCCTCGGGCTCAACCACTACACAACCAAGTAAAGAACGAGGCCATCAGACAGACAGACAGACCGGTCTTCATTGCCCCTGTGTGTGTGTGTGCGTGTGGTTGGCCTCGCTGATTTAGCTATGCCGACTCGGTGAGCAACAGGAACACCTTCTACCGCAACAGCGTGCCCATCGGCTGGCAGTCGGCCTCCTCCTGGCTGTACGCCGTCCCGTGGGGCTTCAGACGGCTGCTCGGATACATCCAGAAGCGGTGGAACCCAGCCTACATTCTCGTCACTGAAAACGGTGCGCAGCGCACAGAACACAAACACACACCTGGCAGCAACAGCAACAGCAACAGCAACAGCAGCAGCTTTCTCACTGCCTCTCTCTCTGTGCTGTGTGCGTGCAGGGATGTCGGATGAGGACAGTGCCAACCTGGAATCTCTCCTGAACGACCAGCTGCGGCTCTCGTTCTACCACGACTACCTGTCCGAGATGGCCAAGGCCATCTACCTCGACGGCGTGAGGGTGGGGGGCTACTTTGCCTGGACTCTCATGGACAATTTTGAGTGGTCCGAGGGGTTCGCAAAGCGGTGAGTGAGTAGGGAGGGAGGGATGGCCAGTGTGTGTGGG